GGCCCTGGGTTCTGGGAGACACCCACACGTATTCCCCCTTCTGCTCACTGACTCCCAGTGGGTTTTCTGCGGCTGCCACTCAAGAGAGTTGTAACTCATGGGCCATGCCACTCGACTGAACAAGTGTGCTAACTGGGAGGGGTGCAGGGGTGGGGGTTATCCCTGAGGGGGATCTTGATGGAGACATGGACAATTGCTGGGGAGAAAGAGGGGCGTTCCAGGGTACGGCATGGCTTCTGCAGGGCAAGGGGTCTCAAAGAGCTGAATCTGTTTACAGAGGAATTGGGTGTGGGTCCCGATAAAGGATGTTAGAACCTCAAATCAAAACCAAGGACGACTTGTTATATAGCCATTGGTGATCCCAACACCTACAGCAACCATTAACATGTTGAGTGGTATTATCTCCAATTTACAGGGGGGGAAATTGAGGTTGGGGGGTGGTCACATGGGTCGGATTTAGGACCGACTGACCAGAGGTTGCATGGCTAATGAATTAATTGGACCTCAGACGTCAGACCCTGAAACCAGGATCTGTTGCCTCAAAGGATTTTTACCTAAAAATGTACCCATGGATTTTTTTGGCAAGTCTTTTTAAACATGTTAAAATTGGGATGACTCTCATCTACTCTCCTGAAGGAGGCAGGGTTTGCTTGTTCCGTAACTGGATTATGTTCTATGTGGGGAAGCTAATACAGACCCCAGTGCCCCCTGCAATGCCCCCTGCACAGAGAACCCCTTTGCTTCTCCAGCCAGTCAGCAAAGACATACTCCTGCCTATTGCACAGCAGGCCTGTGGCCTTGGAGGGTGTGTGTATGTGGGGGAGGGGGTCGGCTCATTCATTTATTAATTCATTTGCCAAATACTTGCTGGGCTGCAACTCACAGTGCCAGGGACTGTGCTAGGCAGTAGATTAGAGGCGAATTAGACAGAGATCTTTGTCCCCTGGGAGCTCAGTTCAGAGGCACGTGGTACACATGAACGACAAAGTCATTTCAGACAGTGGGAAGTGCCACGATAGAAACAGGGTGATCCGAGACGAGTGACAGGATGGGCTGCCACTCAGATTGGGTGGAGGGAGGCCTTTCTGATGAGCTGACACTTGAGCTGAGATAAAGGTGGACAAGAAGCCAGCAGTCCTGTATCTGGGGAAAACACTCTCACTTGTTCTTTTAATGAGCAGAGAAAAGGCCAGATGGCCAGAGGATAAGGTGGTACAAGCTGAGCTCAGTGAGGTAGACAGGGGTCAAATCTTGTAAGACCTTGTAGACCATGGTCATGTTCAAACCAGTTTCTGGACAAAGGCATGTATGAGGGCAGGGGCAACACACGACGTTTCCAGGAGGCAGCAGGAGAGCTGGCCCTAGAGCCCATTCACGGAAATACACTAGGAGTGAAGGGTGGGGCCCCAGGCTTTTGCTGCAGTCAATCAGAGGCTGGGGGCGGGGGTAGGGGGCCAGCAGCTGCGCAGGGGGCTCTCCAAACCACCTCCTCTCTGTATTTCTCTAAGGTTAACTTATTTGGTCACGAGCAAGTCATAGATCATGTATGTGAGTGACAAGGTTAGGCTGTGACTTAGAAAGCTTCCTGGGGGACAGATTGGAGGGAGAGATATTGGATAAATTCTTGAGAGATGACTTCGACACAAAGCACGAAGGCTTTGGAGTTAGACGTGCTTGTGGTCTCAGTGTTGCTCGTAACTCACCCAGGAATGGCGCGGGAGTCCCGTCCCCTCCCGGGGCCTTATTTTCTTTATCTGTGAGGAAGAGACATTGGGGTGGTGGTGAGAAGGGTGCTGAGGTGATTTATAAGGTTTCTTCCTGCTGAAAAGACCGTATGTTACCAGCTGTGGTCTAAAAGTACGATAGAGTTGGCTAAATTAATTCGAAGTTTTATTAGCATCATAGACATGCTCTTACTGTTTAAAAAGAAGACATTTGCCTACAACAGTAAGATGGGTCAAAACAAATAAAACATTACTTGGAAACAATTGTTCACTGTAAACAGGGGTGGAATTACACCTCGACAAGGTCCTACTTTAGATCATTTAACACAGGCTGGGCGCCTCCTCTGCGCCAGGCCCAGTTCTAGGCACGGAGATACAGAAAAACAGTGAAAATGCACGCTCTCAAGGGACGCACGTTGCGCTCAGGCATTAAGATTTTCCGTGTGGGTGTGTATGTGTCTAGATTGTATTTTCTTGAATCGGCAATTTTGCAAATGTAGAGGAATAGGAATTAGGTTAATTTTCTAAGTGCCACACCCAGGAAAGCCATGCAAATTTCTCAGCCTGTGTGATATTTAGCCGATGAACCCATAAGATTCTGTGGCTTCGAACTGCAAATAAGAATTTCCGTAGGTCCCTCTCCAAAATAGCTGGTTGGGTAATGTGTATAAAGGGGTAAATAGGCACCTGTGGGTCATGGTTTTTACTTTAATTTGACCACAGCCCTGCTCTCTTATACACTTGGAAGTTCACGCGGCCATGGATTCATCAGTTCCGTCAACAGCTGAGAGGAGGCACCAGGGAGTCAGGTTGCACTTCCAGCTCCCACGTACAGATACGGGCACGCTGCAGTTCTCCCATGCCGTCTTTCTCCCAAGGACCAGGTGCTCTTTGCGGACCCTTAGTGGGCATGTGGGAGACAGTATTCCCATCCTCCTCCTACGGGCTGCAGGAGGGGGACAAACGAGGATAAGAAGCTGCCACACAGGTCACAAGTCTAGGCTGTCTCCATCTACTATGGGGCCTCTGGATATCGTAATTTAAAAAATGGACACTCATTGAAAAAAATCTGTGGGTTTGGAAAACTCACGTGCCCTCCATTTTCCCAAGGTCTTGATCCTGTTTCGATTCCTCTGGGAATCCACAGGGGTCAAAACTATTTTAACGCTCATACCAAGGCATCACATCTTTTCCCTCTCATTCCCTATGAAGTTTCCCAGAGGCCACACGGTCTGTGATAGCAAACAGGCTGCCGAAGCAGCTGTGAGAACCTAGCCGTCTCCTATTAAGCCAGACGTGAAAGATCTGCAAAACTGTGAAACAAATTGACTCTCTTATGAAAACATGTTAGCATAAATAACATTTTAATGAACGTGTTTTCCATAAAAGATCCTCTATCCTTCGATTCCGTGCTTGAGGATAAAAGGAAACTAACCAGAACAGGTCCATACTATGAATAATCATTATACCCATTGATCAACCCATCTTCCAGGTGCTCTGGGTCCCCGCGGAGGCTCCCTCTCACGTCAAGCCAGCTCCCTCCTCCGTGGCCCACACGCAGCCCGGTGGCCCCCAGGGGCCCTGCCAGTTTTGGCTACGACACGTCAGTGTGTCTTCTCCCATCAGACCTGGGAGCTCTTCACAGGCAGGGCCCTATTTCCCTCGCCAGTGTCCACCCTTCCTGATCATTTGTAGGACAGGAGCCATATCCACCCAGAAGCTCTGCAGGGACATTCAGATGAGACCGTAGATGTGGAAGTGATAGGAAAGTTGGAATCTGTGTGAATTTTAATGAAGTTCTGTATGAACTTTAACAAAGGTCTAAGAAGCTGAGCATAAATAGGGACACAGCATACTAAAAAGGAGACGGAATCTGAAATGAGACACTTGTCCAAAGTATTCTGAGATTTATTAATTTATATCTATTGGAAAAAACCATATATACAACTATCTGCCCAAATATCTCAAGAGACCAGAAGCAATACATATCTCTATGGCATGGGCTCAGGAATTTATAATTACTCCCAATTTAAAACACACTAGATTGTTTCCTGATTATAAAAAAATAATATATGGTTATTGTAGAAAATTTGAGAACTATAGGAAAGTATGCAAAAGGAAATGAAAACTATCCACAATTCTACCACTCAGATATAACTTAACATTTCTGGCGTATTTCTTCTATGCTTTCAAAGGAATAAAAAAAAACAACACCTCCTATGTGTTTTGTATGATTGATATTACACTAAATACAGTTTTGGGTCCTGCCTTTTTTCACTTCACTTCACTTTGGGAACATTTCCCCATGACCTTACAGATTCTTTGTTAATATGAGCGGAATGGCCGCCTCCAGGTCTGCCCCACCTGACGACTGGGCACCACGCTGCCTGAACAGGGGCCTGGAGGAGACATAGAAAGGGGAGTGCTGCCCCCTGGCTGGGTGTCTCCTCTGGCTGGAGGGTCGTCCTGTGCACCAAGGCTGTGAGTTTGATTCCCGGTCAGGGCACATGCCTAGGCTGCGGGTTTGATCTCCCGTGGGGGCACGTACGGGAGGTGACCAATCAATGTTTCCCTCTCACATCAATGTTTCTCTTTTTCTCTTTCTCCCTTCCTCTCTCGTTAAAAAAAAAAAAATCAATAAAGATATTCTCAAGTAAGGATTAAAAGAAAAGGGAAAGGACGTGCTGGAGTATTAGTCCACAACACTGATAAGTTAGGGCTGAGCTCCCTCTGTGGGAGGGAGTTCCTGCGCTCAGTGGGCACCTTCGAAAAGTGGGGATTTCCCTGCTTGGTGGGAGGACATGCTGGCAGATTTGCACTCATCTGAGGTCAGAGCCGGCCAAGGTCAGTGTCAGGAGGCCCTGACGTGAGGGCCAGTCAGGACAGAAAGCATTTCTGAACTGATAATGTCAGCAAATAGAAAACATGATTCCATTCGCTCGACGGCTTGTTACACTTTTTCACAGGTTAGCGGGAGTCAGGGGAAGAGACTGCTTTGAGAAGCATTGAGGGGCTGAGTGAGGGGGTCAAAAATCAAAATTAAACGACAAAAGGAGAAAGCAGCCCTGGACAGTTGATAAATACAGCACTTTAAAATCGCCTGGGGCCTTCACACCAGCAGCCGCCCCAGCCTTCTTGGGCCTCTCCTGTTGGTGTGGACCTGGCTAAAGGGAGAGAGAGAAGAAAAGGGGTGGGGGAGGGGTGCCCCCAGTGTCCTAGGTGGCCCAGTTTTCAACTTCAAAGTGCTCCTTAGCTTTCTTCCTCCGAGAGTGCTCACTACATCATGGGGTAGGCGATGACAAAATAGTTAAGCTCTGAGTCGATCAGCTTTCTGTACTTCCGGTAAATTTCCCGCAGGGTCCTGTCCTCTTCGTTTGTCTCGTATCTGTTTGTATAAATTCTCACCTGCGCCAACAGAGAAACAGAGCCTTGCACACACACGACGACCGCGCCGTTCAGGTACGGAAAACACTCTGAGCGAGGCACGCGCGCCACGGTTGGCAGAATCGGGGAAAGCCTCAACCCCACCGCTAAGGCAGGGTCCAGGCTCCCTTGGGTGAGACTGTTAATTTCCAATGGACAGACTCAGGTGATACGGCTGCCTCCCCACCCCCACCCCTGCCCTGCCCCATCTCTGACTTTGTCCCAACACCGCAGCCCCGGGGCTGGACGCCTGGGCTGCGGGGCCCGGGTGTCCCTTTTGTGCCTGTGCAGCCGCCCCAGGGGTCTCTTACCTTGAGAGTGCGCAGGGCACACTGCCCTTCTTCCTGACTCTTCAGGATCCGCTCCACAAACTTAACATCAAGGAAAGCCCAGATTTTGAAGTAGAACAACTTTCTGCAGGATAAGATGAGGAGGTGCAGCTCCTTGTCGAGTGACTCGTGGTTGTTGTTGAACTCAAAAGTTAGTTTCTGGAAAGGCACCGAAGGGGAAGACGCACGTGGGCAAAGATGCCGGGACTGGCTGGATCTCTCCCTAACGCTCCCATGACCGGACCGTGGGCCCGGGAGCTGTGGTGGTTCAAGTCCTCTAGATAAAATGCCCTGGACACATAGGTCACAGAAGGGATTGGACATGAAGGTGATCTCATCCAAATTTGCAAAACTTGGAGTTTGGAGGCAATGTATTTGGAGTCCGGAGACCAACCAAGGTCCTGATCGCAGGTGGGCAGGCCACCAAACCTCAAGTTCTTCAGCAGCACAACAAATAATAATGCTGCTCGCCTGCCCGCCGGAGGGCTAGGTGAGTGTCGGGTGAGCTATTAGCCCTCCGTTGTCCCTGGTGGTGGTGGTGGTGGTGGTAGAAGTAGTAGTAGGAGGAGGAGGAGGAGGAGGAGGAGTAATGCTAATTGTTACAACCTTCTGTGAGTGAGGTCCTTAAGAGGGACAAAGTAATTCTGATTTTATAAATGGAAGGCTGTCAGATTATGGAACAGCCCACACTTCTAAGCCCCTCAGTGACTTGGCTCAAATCTGGCTTTTTGTTTGGTCTGAAGTCACGCTGTTTCCTGCCCGCTGGGACCCTGTGGAAGGTGGGAAGGGACTTGCAGCCCTGCCGTTCTCCTGCAGGTGCACCTGTTTGATCAGGCCCCATATCTCTGAGCCAGGGATAGAGGAGCTTCCCTTGGTTGACAGTCAACCAGGAAATTCCTTGTGTTGCACGTGTAGGAAGTGAGTGGCTCCTTGTGTTGTCTGCTGTGGTTTTATGGGGCCGGGGAGGTCTAGTTTGGTCAGAATCTCTATTTAAGGCTGAGTGAGAGTGTGTGAGGCCAGCCAAGAGCAGGCAGCGGCGGCCTTTCCCCTGGGAAACCAGGAAGCTGGTGTGGTCCCTCCTGGAAAGCCGCCCCCTCCTCCCCGCTGCAAGCCTATACCTACCTGCAGAGTGTGCCGGAAGGTGGGCAGGAGATCCAGCAGAGTGGGCCGCATGGACCAGTCCGGGTCACTGAAATAGCAGCTTCTCAGACTGATGCTCCTGACCGGGATCTCCTGCAAGAGGATCCGGGCCAAGCGCTCGTACTTCATGACCCGCTCAAAGAAGAAGTTCACCTTCAGGTGGGTGGCGTGCCTGGCCAGTTTGGCCCAGGACATGCCCCAGATGACCTGCCCGTGGGGGTCGTGAATATGGCATTTGATGTTTATGGTCCAGAGGGTACTGGCGTTGTTCTCACACAAGTTCTCGAGCAGCTCATCGGAGATGCAGTTGTAGTTCAGGGTCAGGGACTCCAGGTTGCGGAACGTGGCCATGGTCTTGTTGAACTGGGGGCTGCTATAGACAGCGAGGTGGTGGCTGAAGAAGTCCTCAATGTTGAGCTCTGATGCCATGCTCTCATTCCTTAAATAGCTCAGGGAGTTGAGGACGTGGCAGCCTTGCTCCACGGTCAGCCTGGTGCCCTTCAGGTTGAGATAATCCAGGTGTTTGCCCATCCTCTTTAAGAAGAAGCTCAGACTTTTGATGAACGAGCTCCTGATGCTGTTCCTCCAGACCAGGCGGTCCAGCTCCAGGTGCTGAATGGAAAGAGATTTCAGACGGTTGTTACTCTTGCCCAGACTCGAGAGAAGGCCTCGCATGGTGACCTGGAACTTCTTGGTCAAGACAGCATTGTAGGGATTCATGAATTTGATCTCCAGGTGCTCCAGATAACGACCAAATTTCTTAACATACCAAAGAGCTGACTCAAATTCGGACGCATGTACCCTGGAAGGCCTCCCACTGAACGTGATGGTCCTGTATCGCCAGAGGTCAGCCGAATACATCATCTGGTTCCACTTTCTACAGACAAGGGCTGCCCTGGACCTGTCCCTGTCTCCCAGCCACCAGAAAACACGTTGTAGGCACACATCGGGCAGAGTGGCCCAGCAGCTCTGGTCTTGGGACGGCATCAGTTGGCTTTCTTCGTCCATCAAGGAACCGGGATGTCCAGCGCAGGTGTGTGATAGGCAGGGCTTCCAAAAGTGAGGAAAGGAAAGCAATCACTTATTTCCTGTGGGGAGGAAAAAGGAAGAGCCATTACCTGACAAACAGAAATTAAACCCAATGGAAGGAATTCGTGCTGTGGCCCCATGTGCACTAGGCGCTGTGCTGGTGCAGGTGCTGCAATAATAAATTCACCACACAGCCCACACCTGCAAGGAGTCACAGTCCATTAGGGGTCTGTCGGGGATGCCGACCAGCACTCGATTACCACAGGGTGGGAGCGGTGCAAAGGTTCAGGCACATCCATGTAGGGTAGCCCAAATGGGGTGATTCTTCCTGTCTGGTAAGGAGGCAGTGGAGAGGGCTGCTCAGAGGAAGTGATGTTTCAGCTGGGTGTTGCAGGGTGAGTAGGATCTGCCAGGCGGACCGGGTTGGCCTAGTGGTCGTGGTGGAAGAACTGATGTTTTCCGGGCAGAGGGAACCATGTACGCAAAGCCACCGGACTGTGAATGTGCACGATGTGTTCACATTCAGGGAACTGAATATTGTATGGCGCTTAACTTGTAAAGGGAGGGGAGTGATGGAGCTGGAGCAGTGGGAGATGCTGGAAGGAGGGACCCCGAGTGATGTGAAACAGGCTGTGTCCCAGCGGCCAGGAGTTCCCCTTGTCCTCTTTCCCCAGGACATTGGAATCTTCACATGGCCCCATTTTCCAGATGAGAATCACTGTGTTGAGCTATATTGCTGATGGCTGTGTTGACAATCAACAGGTATAGCGGCAGAACAAGGGTGGAGAGCCTCCACTGAGGTCCCAGGGGGCCAGGGAAGGTCAAAGGGTCACATGTCCGGAAGTGATGTGGTCAGTGCTGAGGTAGAAGAAGGACACTCGGGGAATGGAACGAGGATGGTCTAGAGCAGAGCTCAGGCTCCAACCTGGGACTAGGGCGGCATCAGAGCGGGAATGGGCGGGCTGTGAGTTTTTTGGGGGACATGGTTTGGTAACTGGGAACGCAGAAGTGGGTAGGACAGGAAGCCTCTGGCTGGGCCGGAGGAGTGCAGGTGGTCCCCCTGCCGGGCCCCGGAGGCCCCGGGCCGAGCTGGGCTAAGACCTGCCTGAAACGCCCAGCAAGACCTTTGTTTTTTTACATATGCTGAAATCTTCATGACTTTTTGCTTTCAATGCTTCTTCTGCCTGAAAACGCCCCTCGTTTTCTTTAAATTCTCTAAAACCTCCTATTCTTCAAGCTTTAAGCCCTACTACTCCGTAAGCTTTTATTGGTTACTCTGCCAAGCGGCCCAAGCTAATTGATAATGGCTCATAAAAACTCAGAGCTAAAAGAGATTTGATAATTGATTTTTTTACAGATGGAAACTGATACTCAGAGAGGTGAAGGGGTTTGCCTGAGGTCACACAGCATGTTAGTAACAGGGCACGGATTAGGAGCTGGGCTTTCTGACTCTACGTCCTATACAATTTTTCTAGCGCCACAAGGGGTGAGCCTCAGGTGCTGGAGAACAAGTTAATTTCTCAATTCAGGACAGGTGCTTGTCTGCCCAAGTCCCCTCTTTGGTTTTATTCATTCATTCTTTCCCTTTTAGCTATATCCCACTCCACTGTCCCCACTGGAGGCAAATTTACCAATGTGTTTGCTCTGCGTCTCTTTGTTTGTGTGTGTGCCTGCCCAATGTATTTTAATGTTTGTAAGCATCATTTATATCACTCTGCACACACCCCACCCACTACGTCCATCATCTGAACAGAAGCCGTCCGTGGTGGGCTACCCTGTCTGTCTGCCGTCCACGCCCCACCAGCACCACAGTGGCAATGAGCTCCGGCAGTGAGCTCCTGCGGAGGACTTGATTTGGGATCTTCTCCTGCGCCTTTGCCCTCATTACCCCACCGTCGTCTATGGAACAAGTGGGATCTTGCCTCCGGCTGGTCCTCCCATCTCCAGATCCAGACAGACTTCCATGTGGGATTCGGTGGCAGTTTGCCCCCACCCAGGGCTCCGGTGGGTTCCCGAGCGCTGCCTCTGTACTCAGCCTGCCCGCTCTCTTGCCCCTCCCGCCACTGCCCATCCCTCGGGGTGAGCTAAGTCCAGGCCTTTCTCCAGGGGCGGACTCCTTCTTTGTTTTCAGTAGGTACTTCAACATTTAACAAATGAAGGAGCAGCACTGTCCCTTCAATTGCGTATAGCTTGCCCCAGGCGAGGAGCCTCCACAGCACTCAGCCCGGAGTAAGGCACCTAGAAGGTGCTCAGTCAGGGGAAGCGAAATCCGGTTGGAAGGCTAAACGAAACCCTTTGCCCTCGCAAAGCCACTTGTCGGAAGAATTATCAGATGCTTTGGAGGAACATGTGTGGTGGGCTGGGAAAGTTGTTGCAAGTGGTCCAAAAGTCACGTGTAATTACCGGGACCACCCTCCACTCTCCTGAGACCCCTCACCAGTGAGGGCAGTGTAGCTTCCTGGGTTGGATCCTTGGTTCTGTCCGGTGCTATGCCTGACCTCAGGTGAATGGATTTCTTTGTGCCCCAGTCTCTACATACATAAACAGCAGTAATAACAACACTTTTCTCCTAGTGTTGAAAGGATTAAATAAACTGATATGTGGAAGCCTCCTGAACAGTGCCTGGCACAAAGTAAATGCTGTGCAAGTGTTGGTGGTCATCATAAGTTGGTGCCAAGGCACTTGGACAATATCCCTGTATGGAAGGTGTGAACACAGCCATTTTTACAAACAGGGAAACAGAGGTTCTAGAAGGGTAAGAAAGGCTCCCAGTGAGATGGAGCAGTAAGTGGGGAGGTGAGATTAGAACCCACCCTAAGGACTCTCAAACCTAGGCTGGGTCCACCTTATCACAGAGCTGCCCACCCAGGAAGGAAACCTAAGGATGTCCGATCACCCCTGGTGAGGGGAGGAGCCGGGAAGCTTCCAGGAGGAGGCCGCTGAGGAGGGCAGCCCGCCCCTCCCCGCGCAAGCCTGGGGTGTCCCCAGGTCACCCCCGCCTTCATCGGCCCAGCACCCGCTCCCACCTGTTACCGGCTCTCCGAGCGGGCTGCGCCCCGCTGGGGCTGCAGAGACCGCGTACACGCCTGCCCGCTCGCCCGTGCCAACTCCGCGACCTCCCGGGCCGCGCCCTGACCTCGCGGACGCTAAATGCCTAGTTGCGGGCCGCCTTTGTGACGCGCGGCTCCCGCGGGGCTCTCCTCATCGCTACTGGATGCAGGGGCCCAAACCGGGGGTTTCCAGGTCAGTGGAGCCTGCGCGCAGGGGGCTAGACCAGTCCTCGCAGGTCTAGGAAGGTACCAGGCTTGGGGCGCTGGTGAGGATGGGCTTGTCCCCTGCCCTTCCCCCTTCTGGCAAGAAATAGGTTCTGTCTCGAACCTGGGGCTCAACCCGCCGCCTTTTCTGTCCTGACCCAGCTTCTGGGTCCTGTCAGGTCCCTCGAGACCCAGCTTAGGCACCTCTTATTCAAAATCCATCAGCTCGTGTTCTTGGCTCTCAGCCTCCGGTTTCCCCTTTCCCTGCCTCAGACAGGGCCCCCAAAGGAAAGCCTGAAGCAAACCTGACCCGCCCAGCCTGACAAAGCTTGAGAACTGCCCTATCTTTCCAGCTGGGGGAGGAGTGGGAGCATCCAACCAACCCGCTTTCCTTGGCCCTTCCCTTCCAGGCAGGGCCTGGTGCCCTAACGGGTCACCCCAAAGGCCAGGCAGAAATGCAGGGGTACACTGTCTGCTTGTTGCATCTTTCGGCTTCTCCCAGCCACTCTCCCCACCAACAGCCTCCGAAGGCACCCGTTTGGGCTTCCCCAGTGAGCCAGGAGGGGCCTATGGGAGGCTTGGGACAATGTTTACTAGAGGCCTGTTGTCGTGAGAGGTGTGGATAGACAGATCGGAGAACACCCACATCAGGGACTCTTAGGCGGCCTTGGCCTGCCACCCAGCCTCACTTCTCTCCCCCTCCCTGCCTTCCCTTCAGGCTGCCCCTTCCGCGGGCACCCGCCTGGCCCTGCTGCCCTGGCTGCTGCCACCCTTGCCCTACAAAACCAGCGAGGCATCTAAAGAAAGGTGACCAAGAAGCTTGTAGGGAGGCTGTTTTTATTCTTCAGGAAATATATACATATAATATCTCAAAACTCAGCAGTAAATAGTTCATTTAGAAAATGGTCAGAAGACATGACTAGACATCTCAGATGGCAAATAAGCAAATGAAAAGATGGTCGACATCATTAGATGTTAGGGAAATGCAATTTGAAACCACAGTAAGAGATGCCCGCACACCCATCGGAGTAGCGAAACTTAGAAAGAATGATCATGAGAACACCAGACGCTGCTCAGGGAATGTGGAGAAGCCTGCTCTCTCACACGTCGCTGGTGGGGATGTAAAATGGACACGGGGCCCCCAAGGTGTCCAGGCTGTGGGGCCCTGATGCTTGATCATAATTCTCAGGCAGAAGAGCTGGAGGCTTTTTTCCTTCCGGTTTATCTGTAGCTCTTGAGCACACCAACAGCCCTGTTCGAAAGGAGGAAAGTAGTTACAATGCAAACCTTTTCTTCCATAGGGAAAAAACCCAAGGAATAAAACCCACCTCCTTTCACAAGTAAAGGCTACCACAGAAAGTAAGCAGGGAGACCAGTAAATCTTCCAAATCTGCAGTACCTTTTCTTTTCCAAATCTAGCTGAAGTTTCTCACTTGCTTTCTTTCAATGAAGCTAACCACCAGCACTTCTCCTAAAGAAATGGATATAAAAAAGTTTGATGTGTTTAAAGTGGGGAGTGTTAATTCCTGGGGTATCTCTGGATAGTGTCAGCCTTGGTTCCCAGAGCACAGGCCCCACACTGCAGAGGGCAGAGAGCAGGCACGGAACCCAGCAACCCAGGAGGGGCCTGTGGGAGGCTTGGGACAGCGTTTATTGGAGGCCTGGCATCATCAGTGGGGTCCACGGGCAGATTAGGGAACAACCGCACTGGGGCCTCTTAGTCATTTAAAAAGGAAGAGTCACGTTATTGACTTGGAGGGAGGGATGTCCTTGGGTATTGCCAAGTCATAATGTTAAGATGCAAAGAAATAGATATAATTGGATTCTAAATGTATATGTTTGTAAGTGGTTATATGATGGGGTTGCCAGATAAAATATAGAAAGTCTGTTTAAATGTTAATTTCAGAGAAACAAAGAATTTTTGTAGTGTGGCCCATGCTGTTACTTTGTAATTATTTTTTGTTCCAAGTAATATATTTTTATTTGCTAAATTCAGCAACCTTATTATATAAGGATGAAGGAAAGTATGGAAGGAAACAGCAAATTGTGGGAAGTAAGAGAAAATGGCACTATTTCAACATAATGAAGGCCACAATATGACAAGCAGATAGCTAACATACTTAACCAGGAAAAACTACAAGTGTTTCCTTTAAGATCAGGAACAAAACAGAGATGTCCACTTTGACCACTCTTATTCAACATAGTACTGAAAGTCTTAGCCATAGAAATCAGACAAGAAGAAGTAAAAGGCATCCAAATTAAAAAGGAAGAAGTAAAATTGTCATTATTTGCAGATGACAGGATACTGTTTATAGAGAACCTTAAGGATTCCACCAAGAAACTACTAAAACTGATAAGTGAATTCAGTAAAACAGCAAGATACAAAATAAATATCCAGAAATTGGTCGAAGGTTTATATGTCAATAATGAACTATCAGAAAAGGACGCTCAGAAAACAATCTCATTTACAATTGCATCAAAAAAATAAAAAAATAAAATACTTAGCAATAAATTTAACCAAGGAGGTCAAAGACTTGTATTCAAAAAATTATAAGACACTGATAAAAGAAATGGCATAAGATACAAATACATAAAAGCATATACCATGCTCATGCATAGGAAGAATTAACACCATTAAAATACCCATACTACCTAAAGCAATCTATAGATTCAGCACAAGTCTTGTCAAAATACTGATGGTGGTTTTCACAGAAGTAGGATAAATAATCTAAAAATTTTTATGGAACAATAAAAGACCCTGAAAAGCCACAGCAATTTTGAGAAAGAACAAAGTTGGAGAAAGCATGCTACCTGTTATCAAACTATATTATAAGCCATGGTAATCAAAACAGCATGGTACTGGCATAAAAACAGACACATAAATCAATGGAACAGAACAGAGAGCCCAGAAATGAACCCACTCCTATGTGGTCAACTAATCTATGACAAGGAGACAAGAACATACAATGGGATAAAGAGAGTCTATTCAATAACTAATGGTGGGAAAATTAGACAGGTAAATGCAAGAGAGAGAGAGAGTGTGTGTGCGTGCGCCACCTTCTTATGCTACATTAAAAAAAAAAAACCCTCAAACTCAAAAATGAATTAAATACTTAAATGTAAGACTAGAAACCATGAAACTCCTAGAAGAAAACATAGGCAGTAAAAACTCTGACATTTCTCTTAGAAATATTTTTTTCTTGCTATATCTCCTTGGGCAAGGGAAACAAAAGAAATAAACAAACAAATGGGACTACATCAAACTAAAAAATTTTTGCACAGCAAAGGAAACCAGCAACAAAACAAAAAGACAGTTTACTAAATGAGAGAAGATATTGGCCAATGATACATCTGATAAGGGGTTAATATCCAAAATTTATAAAGAACTCAGACAACTCAACACCAAAAAACAAAAACGAAAACAAAACAAATCCCCCCCCCCCCAAAATGCACAAACCAAAAACCAAAAACAAAACAAAAAAAAAGGAATTAAATTTTAAAAATGGGCAGAGGGCTTGAATAAACCCTTCTCCAAAGAGGACATATAGATGGCTGACAGACATATGAAAAGATGCTCAGTCTCACTAATCATCGGAGAAATGCAAATTAAAAGCACAATGAGATTCTGCCTTACACCTGTCAGAATGGCTATCATCAATAAATCAACACATAACATGTGTTGGTGAGGGTGTGGAGAAAATGGAACCCTTGTGCACTGTTGGTGAGAACGCAGATTGGTGCAGCCATTATGGAAAACAGTGTGGAGGTTGCTGTATGACCCAACCGTTCTACTTCTGGGTATATTATTTAGAGAAACCCAAAACACTAATTCTAAAGAATATATGCACTGCTATGTTCATTGCAGAGTTATTTGAAATAGCCAAGATGTGGTAGCAATCCAAGTGCCTGTTAACAGATGAGCAGATAAAAAAATGGTGGTACATATATACAATGGCTATAAAAAAGGAGGAAATCTTACCACTTTAGCATAATACCCTCTAGATCTATCCATGCTGTTGCCTTGCATGGATAGATCTAGAGGATATTATGTTAAATGAAATAAGTCAGACAAATAAAGCCAAATACCACATAATTTTCCTTATACATGGAATCTAAAGAGCAATATGAAGGAAGAGAGAAAATAGAAACAGGCTCATAGATACAGAGCCCAGACTGGCAATTGCCAGAGGGGAGGGGGGTTGGGAGACTGGGTGAAAGAGGTGAAGGGATTAAGAAGCACCAATTGGCAGTTACGAAATAGGCACAAGAATGTAAAGTATAGCACAGGGAACATAGAATGTAGTCAATAATGCTGTAATAACTATGTACGGTGCCAGGTGGGCACTTGAAATATTGGGGAGACCACTTTGTAAAGTACATGTCTAACCACTATGCTATACACCTGAAAGTAATCCAAAATAATACTGAATGTAAACTGTGATTGAACAATTAAAAAAAAGAGAGAATATGGCACTAAAAACATTCTCAGCAAGTATGAAATTCACCAATCTTTGTAAAATTATATGCTTATGAGCATATATAGATGCTGAAAGAAGTTAGAAAATAAAGATTTAGGTCTACCTTTTTGTAAGGAGTGTGCATGTTATTAAGTGAAAAAGGCAAATGGTGGTGCAGTAAGTATAGGAAAATAGTATATGGGGAAGAGAAATAATTCACACCCCGTATAGGTTTGTTCAGGTGTGAGTGAGCAAAGGCACAGCTTGGGAAGGGCACGCAGCAGGCTGCTGGTGCTGGTACCTCAGGGCGGGGGCCTGGGAGGCGGGGCGGGAGGGCGGACGGTTAGCTTTGCCTGTGTATTTCTTTGTATGGTATTATGTCACGCATTTTGCAAAACAATGAATAATGAAAGCTTTTTTTTTTTTTTTTTTTAAGTGAAGCATCCAGTCTGGAGCTTAAGAGCCTCAGCTTTGGAACTACGTAGACGTGGATCCAAGGTTGGATTCTGCCCCTGTGTAATCGTATAATCCTGGAAAGCTGCTCGACCTTTCTGTCTAGTTTCCTTATTTGTAAAACAGGGATAAAATATCTGTCTATTATGTATAATGAAGACCAACTGTTTGAAAAGAACTTTGCATTGTAACTGACACATAATGGTGAATTACCACTACTAGAAAATAATCTAAGATGTAACACTCAGGACATTGAGGCTGCAAATCCTCATCTGTTTGAGGAAAACCTCAATCTGCTGGAGGCAAGATACCAAGAGACTTAGGATCTTGAGCAAGGCCCTCATCTCTGGGCCTCGGCTGCCTTCTTGACACCAGGAGAGAGCGAGACTGGATGCTCTCTGCTTCATTCATTTACTCAGCTGTTGAAAGCGTTCGCTGTGGCCGGACCTGGGTCAGGAACTGGAGACACGGAGATGAAAGAGCTGCCAGCCTCTGGGAGAGCATGCAAATAAACGCGGGGGGAAGTGCTAGGGAGGGTGGACTGGGCACACAGAGAAGGAGGAGATAGGGCCGGGCTTTTCCAGGGGCAGTGTCCGCGAACATCCCGCAGGTCCTGGGTTTCTCTAAGCCCTGCCCAGATGGCTTGCAGCCAGGTAAGGAAAGAACCCGAGGCTGGGTACCTGATGTTGGTTTAGGGTCGGCAGGGGAAGCAGGATGCCACAGCGAGGGCAGCTCCTCAGGATGTCATAAGCTGCCTCATCATCTACAGGAGAGGTGGTCCGGGGCTTTGTGTCACTTGGTGCTTGCTTTGTTGAGTTTTCAAAAAGAAGAGGAAATCTGTTTATATTTCTTATCTTTGGACGAACGTCTCTTTCTGCTGTGGAAGTCTGATCTTCAGCCGCCTGACTTTGGAGGGATGGAGGAGCAATCGCTGGCTTTCCAGTTGGCAAATATTTTGCAGACTGGGAGACTGCGCGGCATTTACCCTGCAATGTTGAGTAATATATCAAATTTAAAAATGACTTTGGCTTTAATGGTTGGACTATAAAATAGACTAGATAACCCAAGAACTTCCCACCATGAACATTTAGAAACGCTGGATAAAATACGCCAAACATTCGTTTAGGTTGGTTGCTGACTTTGTGAGAAATAAGGAAAGCTCTGTGTTCCAGGAATGAAGACCTGCCCTGTTAGGTGCATGAGCTGACGCTTTGGGAGATCGGGGTCAGTCTTGTAAGTATGAGCTTGGGTAGAATGGAAACAAGGCGGAACAAGAATATTCTGACAGCACTTGCATACGAGGCAAGAGGAGAGCATCAGAGTGAACATGTTCTCAAATCTATATATTGTTTGTTAGAAGGCTAGAGATATGATTAACTTTAGACTGTAAGTCAGGTATTCATAACTACAAAAATGATAGAAGTAGAATGCAAAGTTGCCAAATCAGTAGAGGAGAAGAAAGAAAATGAGAAAATGTGCTCTCTCCAACAGAAGGCCAGAGGGCAAAGCAACAGCAGCAGCAGCAGCAATGAGCAAGCCTGGTCCATGGAAAGGCCCAGAGAAGGTGGTAGAAAAGAATTATTTTAGTATTGTTGAGAATGTTAAAGGTATTTAAGTAAGAAAAGTTAAGTTAAAGGTAGTTAAGTAAGAAAATGATTATTTTTAAGGTATATATTAAAGGATGACAGATGAAATGACAGGCTATCTTGTATTTGCTTTTAAAATACTTTCAAAAAAATAAAAGAAAGGATAGATGAAGCAGTGTTAAAAACTTTAGATTATTGTGTTATGAATACATAGGGGTTTATTATGTTCTCTCCCTACTTTTGTATTTGCTTGGAAAACTTTGTCATATCATTAAAACAGTAAAATGATAGATTCTATAGCCATGTAAGTTACTATTTTCAAACATACAAAGTCTAAAACATTAGCCTTCCATGTTTTATTTCTCAAGAAAGTTTTCAAGGATACATTTTACCAAAGAAAGAGTAAACCAAGAAAGCAAAAGATCTGAACCTAAATTTGGGGAGTAGCCTCTACACTGGAGAAGGTGGAAGGAACTCCTAGGGTGACAGCTACTCATCAGCCCTGGGGAGCCATGGGCCCCCTAATTAAGTGAATAGAGTACTTGACATGTTTAATTGTATTGAGGGGGTAGTTTCAGATCTGGTAGAAAGTTGAAGGGATGATTTAGTGATAGGTAACTAAAAAGTGAAGCAAATGAAAAATTGAAGCAATTCTAGTTCCAGAGAAAATAACAAAAAAATTGTAGAAGAAAGCAAATGCTATGATAGTTTGTGTGGCATAGTCATTTATAATATTTTTTATGGTCATAATAACATAATATTGATCATTGATTTTGCCTGAATGGGTGCTATCATTAAATTGGGAGGACAGAGAGAAGAAACTCAGAGGTATATATAGACTAGATCGTGTAATAAAGTAAAATCCATATTTCTACATCCTTAATAGATTAAATCTAAAATTTAAAGAAAAGAATAGCAGTATGAGAAGGTGCTTTAGAAATATGGAGATAAACACCAGAATAGTAAAAGAGAAAGTAGAGTGTTTGTGCCTTGGCAACAGCATGAAGGGGAGCAGAGGAGCTAACATTTTAACTGGGGCAGTAGGAGACAATTAATGAGGGCTATGATAATGAAGTACATTAGATACTGTGTTAGAAATTGAGAAATGCTATGGAAAAGAACACAGGAGAGAAAGGTAAGGGGCATGGTAAATATGGCGTGGGGGAGGGGGTTACCATTGTAAATAGGTTGTTTATAAAACACTTGGGTGAAGATTCAGAGTAGGCAGTAATATATAAGCTTGGAGTACGGGAGAAGAGTCTGGAATGAGGTATAGATTTGGGAATGTCTGCCTACATAAGGCATTTTTTAAAATCATAAGATTGGATGAAATTATTGAGGCAGTTAGTGTTGATAGAGAAGAACACAGAGACTGACCCCGCAGGCCCCCTCAGCCTCAGAGGTTGGGGAGCAAGCGGAGGAGAGTGTGTGATGCTGGAAGCCAAGAAAGGCGTGAGCAGCAGGGAGCTGAGGAAGAGGGAGTGATGAACAGCGGTCTCCGCATAAGCTGAGGACTGAGGAGTGACCCTTGGATTTAGCAGTAGGAAGGAAGGTCACTGAATTAGGGTACGTAGGGTATAAAAGCCAGGTTAGAGTGTATAAGTGAGGGTATAAGAGTGTAAAAGCCAGGGTGTACATAAGAATTGGCCAAACAGAGAAGGAGGCAGTGACTACAGACAACTTGTTCAAAGGTTTTGCTGCAAAGGGGAACAAAGAAAGGAGATGGTAGCTGGCAGGAAATGAGAGCAGGAAGGGTTTGGTTTGTTTTTTTTTTAGGTTTGTCTATTTTTGGGTCGTGGTGATATAAACCAAAAAAAAAACAACAAAAAAACCCCCCCCATTAAACCACCTAGTGTAAATGATTTCAGTCTCTGATTTGCAAATTAAAAAAAAGAATGTTTAGGGGAGAGAATGCTTTCCATGCAAGGCCAAAGACTACACCGTCGGTACTAGTATTTGTCAATAGTACCCGTGCAAAAACTTCTCATAGCAAATATTAGAACACTGCGGGGAACGGCCTGAGGCTCCTTTGCAGCCTGCATGTGCGACGCATCTCACTTCTCCCTGCTGCAGGGGAGGGAGGACAGTTGCTGGAGCGGTGGGGCAATGACCTTACGTAGACAAGAAAGGTGGGATGTAGTGCCCCAGCGGCGTCAGATGGGAACATAGAAAGTCCCTCTATGGTCAACAGGGGGAAGGCCGAGGGTGTGCGTAAGGACGCTGGTACGAAGGTGCATGTGGCGGTGAGTGGGCATGGATGTTTTCTCCTCATGAAAAAGTAGACAAATCGTTATCCCTATTTTCCTCAAAAGAAGAAAGAGGCTCGGGGAAACTACACAGCCAGCAAGTAGCACAGAGCAGCACTAAAAGGCAGAGCTTCTGACCACAAGTCCAGTTCCATGTTTACTGAGTAAGTGTGTGGGTGTCCTAGGTTGCCGGCCTGGACATGCTGAAGGGGAGGGATCAGCTTCGCTCTCGTTTTTGTGCTCACCAAGCACCTCCTGAGTCAAACAAATGCCGTGGAAAACTTGTGTCACTGAATAAGCGTCGGCATTGAGGAAAACCAACGTGCAGATGTCAACGTGCCGCTATGGCTGAGGATCGCTCAGCTGGCACAGTGCTTCTCACACTTGAAACACTAGTGATGTTGTGAAATAGCAAGTTTTGATCTACCATTTCTAGGGGGGAGGGGCTGAGACCCTGCATTTCTAACCAGTTCCCAGTCGATGCTGATGCTGCTGGCCCATGGACCACACTTCAAAAAGCACAGAGCGGAAAGGTGGAAATGACCCAAATGTCTATCAATAGACGAATGGATAAACAAACTGTAGTATGGCCATAAACGCCATAAAAGGATGAAGTATGTATGGCACATGCTGCAACATGGATGCACCTTGAAAACATTATGCTAAGAGAAAGACACCAATCACATAAGACTACAGATGATAGGATTCCCTTAATAGGAAATGTCCAAAACAGGCAAATCCAGAGACAGAAAGCAGATCAATGGTTTCCAGGAACTATAGATAGGAAGGAGTAGGTAGTGACTGCTTAGTGGGTACAGAGCTTCTTTTTGGGGTGGTGAAAATGTTCTGGAACCAGATAGACATGGTGGTTGCATAACATTGTGAAATGTACAAAATGACACTAATGATAAATTTTATGTTATGTGTATTTTACCACAATAAGCAAAAAGATCTAGATCACCCTAGAGTTTCTTTAATTCTGATATTCATAGTTCCCTAAATTGAAGGGTTAAGAAAGGACATGCTCTCTGCTCAAGGAGGAGGTAGATTTCTTGGGGTGAAGACTTGGTAAGTTTCCACAGAGTGAAACTTACAATGCTCCATCCTGCAAAAAAGGGGAGTGGCTTGGCACAGCTAATGCAGTAAGAGGTGCTTAGAGCTATGGAGGGAAGAGTCTAAGAGTGTTCCCAGGCAAAATCAATCAATCAATCAATCAATCACATCATTTCACTTCTACGGAGTCCCACTTTGCTACCCAGCCCTGAGATAAGCTTCTTTGTGGGAAGAGGGAGAAAGTCGCTCACTTTTGTGGAGGAGCTCACAGCCTCATAGTCAAGACTCCCACAATGGACACAATATTGTAAGGCAGGTCCTAGTGAGGCAATGCCGAGGCCCTGGGGGTTGAAGATGTTCAAGGTGATCAGGGAGAACTGGATTGGTCAGGGAGGCTGCATGAGAGCTGGCGCGAAAGGAGATCAATGATCTATAATAAATTAGCCTAAAGCAATTCACAACATCCCTTTTTGAGCAAAGCAAAAATAAAGATGAGACCTTTTAATATCTTATGTAAATTTGGACCCAGAATCTACCGTTCATACTACACTTTTTGGAATACAGACAAGGTATGAGCACCATTAGAAAATGATTAATTGCTACTCACCATATGGTGTAAATACTTATTTTCTGGGATCATTTGGTGACAATCATGACAGCAGATACTTTTTTCAGGAGCTGGAATTCTCTTCCCTGTATAAACACAGACACAGCACCGCAAATGATTGCCCTTGACAGCGGCCAGCCCAGCTGTCCCACAATCGCGTACATGGCCTGTAGTCACAAGTAGGAACTGCCCCGGGCCTGCCTGCCTGTCCTGCACTGCCATCATCCTGGGCCACACAGGCAACCCTCGGCCGAATCAGCCACGTCACTCCGTTATGACCGCAGAGCCTTACCCAGTGCAGCACATGACCCTGATGAAGAGACAGTGTCCTAGAGCAGGACTGCACTCTAAGGTGACAAAGGGAGCGATTACCACAGGTGCAGTCCTGGCCACTCTGACCGCTCCTTCGTTCCACCAGTTTCTGAGGGCTGGGATCAAACCGTTACCGTACGTGTCTTTGCTGTGTTGTGTTGTCTTGTTGAAGTTGCTTTGTGTGAAGTTGTGTGGGTTGTGTTCAAGTCCAGCCATACTGGAGTGAAGGAAATCTACATGACTCTCAATCATTGCAGATTTTCCTTTGCCAATTTTCTTTCTTTTTAAATTTTATTTATCTTACTGACTTTAGAGAGAAAAGAAGAGAGAGAGAGAAGCATTGGTTGGTTGTTCCACTTATTGATGCATTCATTGGTTGATTCTTGTATGTGCCCTGACCTGGGATCAAACCAACAACTTTGTGTATCGTGTCAACGCTCTAACCTACTGACCTACCTGGCCATGGCTGTCCTTTGCCAGTTTTCACCTTGAGTAGATTGTTTACCAAGAGAGATTTACTATACAAGGGATTTTAGGCTCATACCACATGTTACCATGCTACTAAAACAACCAATGGAATCAACATTTTATCTGTCACATGGATGGCTTGTGTCCTCTGCTGACATGCCTCATAAAGAGCTGACTGTGTCCAGAGAACATGAAATGGTGCAGCGAGCCACCACGTAGGTGCAGAGATCAGAAGCCGTAGCTAATTTCTTCTGTCTACTGCTGCTGGTGGACAAAGCACCAGATTTGGTGTCAGGAAACCTGGGTGTCTAGCTTTATTTCTTCCTCTGGCAAGCTCCCGCTTCCTTCTGGGCATGGGCTTGTCATCTGTGAGAGGAGGCAGGTGGATCTCTGCCAGGCTAGGATTGTGCCAGAGGCATTCCAAGGAAGCCTCCCGCTTTGTAGGTCCCCACTGCCTCTGCACCCGTCTGCGCGGCTCCCAGGTCCCTGCTGCCTGCCTCTGGGTCTCCGTAGGCCAGTCCTTTGAAGAGCACAGCAGACACATGAGGAGGCCACTTTAGCACATGATCTAAATCGAGAGTAGCCGGATGAATCTGAGACCTACACATCTGTCATATGCACAGGTGGTCTGTCCTGTTGAATACCTACGTTCCCACGTCCCTTCCAGGAGAGGCTCCCTTTCCTCCAAGCTTCCCCTTTCCACCCCAGCCCGCCCTGCTCACCTCTCCGGGGCTGGGCCTGCTCCCTCTGGCACGCATCTCTGTGCTGGGCCAGCCTTCGGACCACGATGAGCTGGCCGCAGTCCAGGCAGAGCTCGGTCTGGCTGCCGCAGTGGTGCTCATGGATCTCCAGCTTGCTAAGGCACATGGTTCCCCTGCAGAACTCACACTCGGCGGGGCGCTCCTGGCATTCCGTGGCCTGGGGGAGCGGGCAGGACCGGCATGGTCACTGGCCTGAAGTGACGGGACTACAGCCCAGCGGGGGACGTGAGCTTATTTCCCTAGGGGATGGAAGCCAATAAGAAAGCGGGTGGGAAGGACCAGAGTGGAGACCCTCTTCTGGGAATTTGAGCTCTCCTGGGCTCACAGACCATGGTAGCCCTTTTTCTCTTTTATTGATTTCAGAAAGAGGGGAAGGGAGGGAGAGAAACATCAACGTGAGAGAGAAACATTGACCAGCTGCCTCTTCTTGTGTGCGCCCCGACCGAGGATCAAGCCCATAGCTCTGGCATGCGTCCTGACTGGGAATTGAACCCACAACTTTTCTATTTGTGGGACGACGCCCAAGCAACTGAACTAGTTCCCCATTGTTGCCCAGGCCTGTTTGAGTGAGGAGAGAGGCCAGGTGGAAGTTTTTATTATCGCCCCTCCTCACCCTCCCTCTCCTCCCAGGTTGGCCAGTTGGCTGTAAAGGATGAATCACACATGATTCTCACCTCGTGAGACTCCAGCAAGTGCTTCTGCATGCTCTGCTGGCACATCGCACACCCGACCTGAACAGAGAGAGAGCAACGTTGGCCCCACCAGCACCTGCCGCCTACCCCCCATGACTGCCCTGGCTTCACACGCTGCCCATTTGGGTCTGCAAGCGCTTAGGCACCAGGATCAGGTGTGGTTACCTCAGGCTCCCTGCGACATCAGCCCTGGTTTCAAGAAGTGTTTGGGGGACCCGTGGAGTTGAAAGGGATGCCTGAGCTTGATGATCTCCAGAAACACAGATGAAAGGAGCAGGAAAGAAAAGTCAGCCTTGGACTGACTTTGGCCATGACTGCCTTCTAGAGCTTTCCTTTCCTCCTTCCCCTCTTCACAAAAAATAACATTCAGCTTTTCCTGAAACGGAGCCCTTGCCTCGGCCAAACCCATCAGCCTGCAGGGAGAGGGCTGGCGATGGAAAAATCAGGGGTAGACTCAATTTAGTATGAGAAAGACAATTACTCTGTCCTCTTCCCAGAAGAGACTGACACGTGCCGCACAGAATGGCTGGCTGAGTTGCTGCAGCCGGGACCCAGGACCGGGCTCTGCCCCGCCGCCCAGCTCTCCCCGCTCCGCCCCGCCCCTCCTCCGCAGCCTCACCTGCTGGTGCCCGCTCTTGCGGTGCTCCTCCATCTCTGCCTGCAGGACGGGCTCCTTGCATTCCGGGCAAAGGACCAGGGACAGCAGGCAGTGCGCCTCGTGGAGGGTCAAGTGGGCAGAGGCCACGCTTCTCTTGCTGCAAGGTCAAGGGGGAAGAAACTTGGGCTTATTTCATGGTCTACAACATGGAGCCCTATTTCATACCCAGGGCCGCTGGGTTAAGAAATGTCGAGGCCTCAAGCATTTAAAATACAATGATCATGCTACTTGTCCCTATTGGTCCCAGATCAGAACAACGCTATATCATAAAATAAGTGTAAGAATGCTCTTCCAAGCTCTGAATATTGCCCAGGACTAGTGAGGGTGAGTGAAAAGGAGCAGGAGGGATAGATTGTGAAGGGGCCCCAGGGAAGTTTTAGGGGTGATGGATAGGTTCGTTCTCTAGACTGTGGGGGTGGTTTCATGGATATATAAACGTGTCGACCGCATGAAACGGCACACTTTAAAAATGTACCACAAATGCAGTATGTGTCAATTACACCTCAATAAAGCTGTTAAAAAAAATGAAATAACAAATATCAAATTCTTTCAAAGATTTTGTCTTGTTTTTCAAGTGTCCCCCTGCCTGGCCCACAGCTGGTTGAGAGTCCAGGCGGGCATTGCCATGCTTGTTGCAAGGGCCACACCAACACTCAGCATCCCCATAACTTAGGGGGGCAAGAGGCCACCCACTGCCCTCCTGCCCCAGGAGCACCTGCGCAAACCCACAGAGAGACCCGGAGTCCTTTCTTTGAGACCCCAAAGAAGGTAAGCTCCTGAGCCTCCCAGTTTGTTGGCATGGTGTTTCCTAGGACTCCTAATTACCAAGAAATGCCCCCTTTCACTTCAGGCAGCTCTTGCTTGCGGTAGCTCTGGAGGAGGGAAACTCAGCGCCTGTGTCCCTAAAGGCCCAAATGAAGATGACAGCTGTACGCCCACGTCCCTGGCATGTGGGAGGTGACCAGAGAGTAGCCAGAGCCCCACTCCTCTTGGTCTGAACGAGCTCTCAGTTCTGCGCTGCCCGGACGGAGGGCACAGAGGCTGCCTCACCCCGCCTTCCTCTATTCTTGCCCCGCTGCCTGGCCCGGCCCGTCCCCGCTCTGCTCCCCCTGCCCTGTCCCCTCAGCTCTTCCTCCTGAGCCGGTTCAGACACCTGAGAGCCAGGAGGGTCTGGCTGGAGCAAAGCTCTCCGTTCCCTCCTGGTTCCTGCCACAGGTAGGCAGCTTCTGTGGACAGCGAGCCCCTTCGGTGGGCCAGGTGCCCAGAGTTCGGGGCGTGGCCCTGGATCCTGCTCTGGCTCCTTCCCCCCGCTCCGCAGCTCCTTCTCCCGGGGGCGGGGGGATCAGGTTGGTCCTGGACTGCTGTGCAGACCACATGATCAGAGCCCCAAATTAGGACTGTGAGTAGCCCAGCAGGGACAGTTAGCCTGGCTCTTTGGCTTCAGGACTGTCCCAGAGAGTCTAGACTATCTCGAGGGGAGGAGGGGAGTGTGGTTGAGTGACGCAAGCTAATGCTGACCACTTCTCATCATCCCACTGCCCCAGAGAGCCCGAGAGCTTAAGCCTTCCTTCCCCAGGGGCCTCAGCGCCCCGCCGGCCTCTCCCTGGTACTTTATGCCTGGACCCTTTTCTCCTTACGTCAGAAACAGACATACCCTGCCTGCCGGCCCTCTCATGCCGGCAGCTCCTTACCAGTTCCTGCACTCCTGGACGGCTGCCTCCATGTTCTCGTCTTGGAGTGTTCCTGCTGAGTTTCGTTTCTTGCAGAAACAAAACTGAAAGTGTCCCAGCAGCCCTGCCCACAGCTCCAGGGAGGAAGAGGGTTTTCAGAATTCTCAGCCAGGGCTGCCGCGGGGCTCCTGTGGCCGGGCATGCCCCCCCAGGGAGCCCCTCTGTAGTGTGGTCAGCCCAGCCTGCCCCTGCCGCCTCCCTGGGCCGGTGTTGTCACCCTGCTGCTGTCACAGGCTGTTACAACAGCCCTGAGGGTGGGAGCCAGAGGCCAGGTGCCTCCTGAGGCAGCAGCCCCCCCACCCCCCAGGCTGGCTTCACCGCATGGGGTCTCTCCATCCCCTTCCACAGTGCCCATCCCCTCCGCTGCTCCTGTCACCGTTCCTTCCCCTGCAGGGCAGAGAGAGTGTGCTGCGTGGAACTCGAAGGCTGCCGCTTGAGAGCAGTGCCTGGACTTGCTGTGTCCTGCTCTGGTCCCGGTTGGTGATGACTTTGAAAACAGGGTCCGGGAGGGATTGGGCATGCTGGATGCCATGTGCCAAGACACAGCTCGGAGACAGGGCAACAGCCTGTCTCCCTGAGTCCCTTTCCTTACTTGTAAATGGTTATAGAAAACATGACTGTAACTCTAACAAGGTGAGAGCAAAGCGAGAAAGGTTCTATTTTCATCATGCCTGTTTTCAGATTAAGAGACTGAAGCACTGATGGGTGATATAACTTGCATATCACGCAGTCAATAGGCAGCAGAATGAGGCTTGGGCTGGGGCACAGTAGCCCCAGGCTTCTCTCTCCTGGCAGATTGGAATTTGGATCCTGATAGTGTTATTAACCGGTGCTTGAGTCACCTTAGCCTTTGGGCTTTTGTTCCCTCATTTGTGGGACTCAAGTGAGCACTTGGAGGATTTTAGGAGACCAAATGCTCCCAAAGATTGCGTGCAAAATTGCTTCCATGTGAGTACATGCCTATTCCCAAGAGCCAACATTTTTAGTAGACGCTCAAAAGGAGCCCACAACCTAGACAGTAATAAATGACTGGGCTCACTGAATCAAAGAAATCAAGGTCTGTTAAAAGCTACACATGTCCAAAGTTATATGTGCATCATTGAATCTAGTGAATAGAGAACATTTGTTTTGTGTCCCTATGTTCTACTCACAGGGAGAAGAAAAGTGCAACTAGTTTGATAACTGAAAATGATAAAACAGTATATTTTATATGATAAAATATAACAGTATATGATTTAACAGTATGTGATAAAACAGGTTAGAATTTTTAGAAGGGGTTTAATGTATATTTCTGTTCCCCAGAATTTTATTCATAAAAAGTCAAGCTCATCTAATTAGCTTCAACATTCATTTTTATTGTTTATAAGCACAATTAAGATGTTAACCTATAACCCTGCCTGGTGTGGCTCAGTGGATTGAGTGCTGGCCTGTGAACCAAAGGGTTGCTGGTTCTGGTCCCAGCGTAGGGCACATGCCTGGGTTGCAGGCCAGGTCCCCAGCAGGGGGCAAACAAAATGCAACCACACATTGATGTTTTTCCCCCTTTCTTTCTTCCTCTCTTCCCCTCTTTAAAATAAAATAAATACTCAGTTGGGGGGTATGTGAGAGGTAACCACATTTGATGTTTCTCTCCTTCTCTTTCTCCCCTCCTTCCTCTCTCTCAAAATAAATAAATAAAATCTTAAAAAAAATAATCAGTTTTATGAAAACTAGCCACGTAATTTTAAAAAAAGATGTTAATTTGTAGTTAGAGAATTTTGATTGTGGGTTTGCACATTTATCTAAACATTTTAATTTATTTCAACTTTAGCAAGCACACCGTATACCTAACTTTACAACAGCTGATAAATACATAGCAGCTTTTCAGTAATATATGAAGAAGTCCCTCCTGATGTTTGGAATATCAGAAACCAAAAAGAGCTCACCAAGGCAAGGATGGGTAATGCTTCAAGTACTCAGCATGGGACCTGACCATTTATCAGGGCTCTTGATGCTGGGAGTGGGAGGACAGTAGCTTCCCAACTTGTCCACGAATTGGAATTGCTTGGAGAACTTCCAGAAAAACCAGTGATGCCTGCCCAGCCCCAGAGCGTGATTTTACTGGTCCAGCTTGTGGCTGGGACTTGGGAACTTCCAAAAGGTCCCGGGCGATTCTAACCTGCAGAGAAGTGGGGAGCCACTGAGGTGGAAGGAAAAGGCTGGTTCAGAGTTGCAGGTCCACATGGAGGTTCGAGCCCCGGGTAGCACCCGGGAAAAGGGGGGAGGGGTGGCCTGCCAGAAGGAGTGCTTCAGGGATGTGGAAACGGGATGTGGAGGCTGCTTACATGCCCTCCCCCGACTCTGCGCGCTCTGTTGACCCACTCTGGTGTGCCTCCGCCCCTCCCCCACCCCGGGGTCCTCCGAGCTCTGCCAGGCCCCAGACTCAGCCATGCTAACAGCAGGATTCCAAACTATGTGTTGAGCGATGGTGCAAGCAGGCCTAGAGGATTCTTGTGAAGTCTATACATGGGGTGGGAGCAGCTTTTCTGAGGAAGATCACAAGATTAAGGAGAAGGCCCAGATGTGGCCTCCAGCCTCCTGCCAGACTCTGAAATTCATTCAGGTGCTGAAAGAAAGACAGCGTGCGGTAAGATTAATGATCAAAGAGATGGAGGTAAGAGTGAATGAATGCTGAGATGTTTTCTGTGTTCCAGGCATTAAACATTTTACAGGCATCATTTTTTTAAAAAAATCTACCCAATAGTTCTGGTATAACCACTATTAGCTCTATTTCACACCTATAGAAATGAAGGCACAGAGAGGTTCAGTATTTTGCTCAAGGTCACACAGCGAATATCAGAGCTGGGATTCAAACCAGGGTGATGTGACTCAGGGGTCTATGTGCTTAAGCAAGACACCATCCACTGCATTAGACAGCTGGTGGGGCGGGGGAGACTGGGTTAGCCTCCTGATTCCCTTCCTCACTGGGCGGGGGGGCAAATTCCTTAATCGCTTGACCTCGGCTTCCCACTCCTGTCTACCTCTAGGCAGTCTTGTGGAAAAAAAAACTGAGCTTCCACACACGTTGTCTCTGGCTGAGACCCCCCCGAATGGAGGGGGTAGGTAGAGATATACAGGGGGTGCCAAGGTGAGATGTCCCGGAGGACCGGAGTCAGTGACAGGGGCCGTGGGGATGGAATCGGAAATGACCGTGAGTTTTTCATATACCTCTTAACTTTCTTCCAAGATGTTTCCTCTTTCCAGGCTGTCCCACCCTGCACCGCCCCTACCCTTACATAAATGTCACTGGTTCTTCAGGGTCAACTCTGATGTTATCGCTGACATAGGACCTACCTCCTCTGTCTCTGGTTATGGGCGGTTGCTTGTCCATCTGTTGCTCCTACTTGCTCCCAACCAGCCAGGGGTGTAGATGATTTGAGATTCTTCGCCTCCCGCCACGGGGTCCCACATGCTCTGCTTAGCGGGCCGCGAGGCGCGGGGCTGGGCTGGGCGTGGCGGGCCGTCAGAGCGGGCGCGCCTGGATGGATGTGAAGGAGGCCTGTCTGAGATAATCAGAGCAGAACTCAGCAACCTCCCCCACCCCCACCCCAGAACCCAGGGCTCTTTTCTTCTGTGTTTTAAAGATAACGTAATTTTACAACTAATGCATGAGTATGCTGTCTTTAAAAAAATTAGAATATTACAGATAAAGTAAAATTTCTGAGCCATCGCTATTTTTGACTGGAGTGAGCCGCGAGGCACATTCTGGTTGGCACAAAAGCCTGTCCCCACTCCCAGCACCATATGAACCCCCCCGCTGTGGGCTAACGTGATTTCATCATTCTGCTACCAGTTTTTGGCCGGTTGCCAACCCTTCCCCAAACCCAGTCCCATAAAAAACCAGATGAGAACTGCTCTGTTGTGAGCTTAGAATTCCTCTGCAGGACACTGTGGCTACCGGCTTGGCAGCTGCCAGGAGTTTCTGACAGTTTCTTTGTGTCAGGCCAGTGGGTCAGGGGCGGGGGGCGGGAGCTGGTCCCTCAGGCTGAGTCGGTGGGGCGTCCCAATGTTACCTTTCCCTGCGAGGCGGGAAGGGGGAAGCCCAAGCTCTGCCCTGGTCTGGGAGGAAAGAATAATAATACATGCCTCAATGCATTGTTTTGAGGATAAAACGAGAAATTGTGTGTCAGAACTGTACGAGGTCATGGAAGGTGGGAGAGAATATTAAAAGGTTATTTCACTAGTCGACTTTGAAAAGCGATCTTAGGGAGGCTTTATTCTTTCAAGGGATCGCCGCGCTAAGGAAAATGATGTAATGACAGAGGTATTTCACTTCCCAGACAAAAATTACACAGTGGAAGGGTGCCCACTTCTGTCGGTCGGTCGTGCCTTTAGAAGGATCCTGCGGTCAGAGCGGGCCTGAGTCCCGGGAGACGTGATCACAGAGATTGCAGTCTCCCCAGGCACAACATGTTTGGGTGGGAGTTTGTTTTTCAGACCACATGCAATGCATCAAATGACTAGTCTCTGGGTGGAACTCCAGCCCGGGATATCTGCGATGTGTTTGGGGCCGGCTCCAGGCCTGGCTGGGCGGCAAAGTGAGGGGATGCCCTGCTGGCTCTTGCTTAGCTGGCATGCGAGGGGGAGGAACCTCGTCATTAAACGTGGGCAAGAAGCAGCAGCTCCGCGGCTTCTGTCTGCATTTGTGGTCCCAAGTACTTTCCCCGTCCTTTTCTTCTGCCGGAGGTCTGTCTCCACACATTTTCGGGTCTTTTTCCTGGTTAAAGTCCCACCTCCCCCGCTCCCCCAACCCATTCCCATGCCATCCGCAATCACAGAGCTCCTCTTTGTCCCCTAAAGGGACATTTCACGGACAGCGTTCAGGGGCCTTATCTTTCTCCCAGGTGATTTATTTTTAGATCTCAGTTGTGGTACAGTCGCCTTAGGTGCTGTTAAATCTCATGGGACACAGGACAAATGACCATGTGCATCAAACCTTTTGTTGTCATTTTGGGGGGAGTGAAAGAGGAAAAATTCAGACCCCAAGCTTCTTTTCATTATCAGAAATGGCAGTGAACTCACCATGCAGGAGTAACTTGTGGTGATGAGCAGCCACTCAGACCTCATTTTAGAGAATAATTAGTCTTTTAATTTTTAACAATGGAAAATTATATTGGTGCCTTGAATCAAAGCATCCTCTTTGTGTCTGTGAGTGTTTCTGTCTACCTTGCTCTTGACATCATGTGGTCTTGCTTACAATGGTGTGCTGGAGCTTTCTTAAAATGGCTTGCCCTGGCTCTGAGATATTATTGCACCCATCTCTTCCAGATTTTCCATTCATGAGGTC